CGTCGGAGGCATGTATACGATCATCGTATATATTCATATGTTCATGCCTGAACAATAAATGTGAATAATATTAAAAGAATTAAAAACTCAAATCTGAAAAATTTATTCATTAAAAAATAAATTGATATTAGATAAAATACAAATGTTTAGCACAAGGCCATTATTCCCATTCGTATACTCAAGAATACAGGGTACACTAAGTGGATACGCCCCTTTTGAATGCATATAAAATATATGGAATCAGCGTGGCTGGCTTCAGTTCTCGTGTGATTCTCTATGCCTAAGCATAGCCTAAAAAAGTGATCTGATCTCATTTGCTTGCTCTGGATCTAAGGCTTAATTTTGTGAAAAAGTGGAAAAATGTGTGAAAATGCCAATTGATAAAATTCAGTTTGTGACTTTTCTATGTCTGTGTCTGTGCGCCTCTCTGCCATGGATAAGGGCAAGCGGGGAACGCGACCGAGCGCTGCTCCATGGCAGCGACGATGGCACCCTGCTCTTTGAGGCGGCCCCAGACCAGAACATAACCTTCCGCCTCATGGGCGAGGCAGCCACGCTGCTACTGAACGACGTGGACATTGTAGCGGTATTGGAGCGACGTCGGCGTGCGCAGGCATCAGCGGCAAGACAGGAGCCCCTGTCTCTGGACGCGCTCAAGGAACAGTTCCGCAACGTGCAGCGGGATCTGACGCGCTTGGGCAGATGGCTGACCAAAACCCAGAATAACACACGTCGATCCGGGCCTACGCAGCGAGTGCTACGCCGCGACTTACAGCGTGTCCAGACAATGGCGAACACCCTGACAACCCTCGAGAGCAATCTGCTGAAGAATGACTGCGAGTCAAATCCATGCAAGAACGGCGGCACCTGCTACGACGCCTACAATGCCTTCTACTGCACCTGCGCTGACGGCTGGCAAGTGAGTAAGCTGCGTACAAAGGGTGGGCGTCATCCTCGAAACACGCTATCCAAAAAACAAACGAAAAATGGGGCGTTATTTTACACTAGAGATAGACTCTGTTGGAAAAAGAAAGATAGGAGTAACGAACAAAAACTGAAATAGAGAGAGTCTGGCATGGGAAGATGAATAGTAATTCATTTTTAGAAAGAGACTGATTTCTCATTTTCAATGGGGTCTGCCACTAACCATAAGTATGCGATGGCCTTTGTAGATGTCCTACTCCTGAAGAGAACTATAAAACAGAAAAAACTGCTTTCTATGCCGTCAAAAATTAACGTACAGAAGCTTATTTAGCATATCAACATTTAGCTTTATGTCCCTTTGTATATCTGTGTGTCTCTCTGTCTGCCAGCTTAACAAATGCACGAGACGTTGAAAATCATTGGGGCTGTCCGTATGTATGTATGCAGCAGTCCTCATTTGAGTAAAAAAAGCAAGAGTTCTTGCAGCAGAGAGTGTTTCCATTGGTCACTTGAAGCTTGACTGCAACGATCTCTCTCTAGGCTCTGAGTGAAAGTTGCCCCATATAAAGGGCAGCAGCTGACGCATTTCTTCAGTCGTCTAAGGCTGGTGAAGGTCAAGCGTGCAGCGCAGTAAGCATGTGAAGTGAAGTGTATGATCGTTCATCCTTCAAGACTCAGAGGAAATACTTGGAGACTATACTTAGTAGAAATACCTTAAGTAAACATTTGTTGTAAATCCTTTGAGGAAATTCTTAGAAGAATACTTATTCTTAGAAGAATACCTAATATTTACTCTTATTTTTGCTTACATCAAAACAATCTTCATTGTTTAACAACTAATTTTGTAGTCTATAATGATAGTCTATAAACCTATACAGCTTTTCAGAAATAGGTTCAGTTAATTATAAAATATTAATTATGTTCAATTCCAAGTAGAAATATTCAAAGTGTAGAGCTCTTCAACTTGTTTCTCCTAAGGGTGCCACGTGCGAGGATGATGTGAACGAGTGCTTTAAGTTTGCCGGCACGGATTTGGCTGTGTGCCAGAACGACGCGCAGTGCATCAATACGCCGGGCAGCTATAGGTAAGTGGAGCAGGATATTTAGACAGGACATGCGCTGCATCAATACGATCGTGTAAACTTCTAGCTGCGTCTGCCGCAATGGCTTCTCGGGAGCCCACTGCCGCCTGCGCCAACACGTCTGCCTGAGCGATCAGTCGGCGGAGCTGTGCGGCAGCCATGGCACCTGCCTGTCGGCCAACACTGCGGCTGGTTATGTGTGCATCTGCGAGCCGGGCTGGACCTGGGCGGATACGAATGTGAGCAGCGCCAGCGCCAGTCCCTGTACACGTGATGTGAATGAATGTGCGCCAGACGTGAATCCCTGCCATGATGTGTGCATCAACTTGCCGGGCAGCTTTCGCTGCGGCGCCTGTCCGCCGGGCTACACAGGTGAGGCGAACACCCTGGTGTATGATATGGCTATGATTCCTTTATTTGATTGCAGGCGATGGCCGGCACTGCCGAGATCTTAACGAGTGCGAGGACGGCAACAATGGGGGCTGCAGTCAGCGACCGTTGGTCAACTGCATCAATACGGAGGGCTCTTACCGATGCGGCCGCTGTCCGCCGGGCTGGACGGGCGATGGCCGAGTCTGCAGCGAGGCCAAGTCCAACTCGTGCAACGGCGAGTCCATTTGCCATCCACGTGCCGAGTGTGAGTATATTTCCGGCACAGTCGTATGCAGCTGCCCGGCCGGATTCTTTGGGCACGGCTATGGCGCCGATGGCTGCACCGAGGACTCCAGCCGGAGGCCCTGCGACGATCATCGCTGCCAGAACAATGGCACGTGCGTACTCAGTGGGCGCGGCACCAGCTGCATCTGCCAGCCGGGCTACACAGGCGCCCTCTGCGCCGAGGCCGATGCCTGCCATCCGAATCCTTGCCAGAACAACGGCGTCTGCCATCTACTGCCCGGCAATAAGCATCAATGCGTCTGCCCCGCCGGCTTCACGGGCAGCAGTTGCTCCCACGTGCGCAGCTACTGTGGCATCGTCCTGCGCGAGGAGGCGGGCAGCCTGCAGTTTCCTCCTAGCAGCAGTAGCAGCAGCAGCAGCAGCAGCGCAGCTGGCCCTGGCTATCAGCCCAACGAGCGCTGCGCCTTCATCATACGCACTAGACCCGGCCTGGTGCTGAACGTGACCTTTGGCTTGTTCGATCTGCAGCAGACGCCAGCTGACTGCAGCGCCGACTTTCTGCAGCTGCACGATGGCAGCTCACTGACCGCCCGACAAATCGGACGCTTCTGTGGCACTAAGCTGCCGTTGGGCGACGGCAGGGTGGTGACCACCCAGGAGCAGCTGTTCCTCTGGTTCCGCTCGGACAATGAGACGCAGGCGCGAGGCTTTAATCTCACCTGGCACTCACAGCCGTTCATGTGCGGCGAGACCTTACGGCTGGCCCTGGGGGACAGCGGAGTCCTGCGCTCACCCAGCTATCCGGGTAAAGCGCGCTCCGGTCTCGACTGCCGTTGGCTCCTGAGCGCACCATATGGCAATCGGCTGATCTTGCGCTTCTATGAAATCACATTGGGCAACGGCCGGGACAACGGAGAGTGGACGACCAACTGCAGCAATGGGGACTCACTTGGGGTCTGGGAGTCAGATCGGCTGCTCCACATGGCCTGCCAGTCGGAGCAGCCGGCGCCCCTGCACAGCTCGTCGAATCAGCTGCGCATTGTATTTCACACGGATAGAAATCGCGCGGACAGCTTGTTCCAGCTGCACTACGAGGTGGTGCCGGGTCATCCGGGCTGCGGTGGCGTCTTCAACGAGCCGACCGGCATCGTCAGTGGTCATATGAATGCCAAGCTCTGTTTGTATCTCATCGAACAGCCGTATGGAACGCAGATTGAGCTTACATTCCTCCGGGTCAAACTATTGCACGACTGCTCCCTCCAGCAGCTGGAGATCTTTGACGGGCGGACAGACGAGGAGCCACTGTTGCGGCGCTACTGTGGAGAGCCAGAAGACAGTGAACTGCTGCCGGTGACGTCTAAGAGCAATGTTATCCTACTGCGCTACGAGTACGCTTTGGCGGGCCTTGAGTTGACCAAAAGCTTTGAGCTGCGCTACAAGAGAGGTAAATCGAACATCCGGATTGGTCATATTCTGCTTTTTATACCCTGAACCCATTGAAAATGGGAAATCAGGGTATAATGGTTTTGTT